TCGCTCTTTTTCTCAAAAACTAGGGGCCCTTCTCCTTTGGCTGGAAATTGGGTTAAAAAACCAAAAAAATCCCGATCACACGGCCGTGTGCTTCCCCAGCTGCCCGTGTGAGTTGTGCAAAACGCGGCATTTCGATAAGTGACTTCAGGCTTCCTACACGGCCAGACCCACACGGCCGTGTGGATTTCCAGGATGCCCGTGTGTGTTCCCTGGAATTTCCACACGGCCACAAGGGATCCTCCACACGGCCCGTGTGATTTTGCCCGTGCAATTTGATGTCACACGACCGTGTAGGTTTTTAGGCGTGCCCGTGTGGTTCCATCAGCTTCTCGCCAAATGTCCAATCTTCGTCCAATCGACCCCGAACTCGTTCTCAAGCCTACATTCAGGTACTAGGACCTGAAATATCACAAACAAGAACAACCTAGCGTGAAATCAGCCTAAAACACGAGAATTGACAACTCAAACGGCTCAAGAATAGGGGTAAAAACATGTGTAATCAATCGTCTATCACAGGGGCATTCTTCAAATTATATGGACCAAGTCCGTTGTCCTGTAGTGGAGAGGGAGACACGGATTTAAGCTTTGGGCCAAGTTGTTTGTCATTTTGGGAGGAGGAGAAGCTTAGTGGAACGCAGTGTTTTGGGAGGCATATATATATTTGAGCGGACTGCATTGAGAGGACGAGAATTCTTTTGGGCGAAACGCAAGCTTTGAGATTTCTTGGAGCAGCGGTGAGAGGAAAATAGCACGAGCAGCCATTGAAGCGGATCAGTAGTAGCGTCGATCGGGGAGAGAAAATCAAAAGCCGTGCTTTATTGCATAATCAGTATTTTTTGCCCTCTTCGTCATTAGTTTTATGATGAACACCAACATGATTGTTTGCTTTGTTTTCGTCATAAACTGAACTTCAATTTCTAAGAGAAACACCATAGGATGTAGTTATTTATAGATTTGATGGATTGATTCATATTTCTCTTCTTCCAATCTCTATTGCATGGAATTGCTTAATGCTTTATGTTGACTGGCCAGTGGCCACCAATACATTGATTTGTAGTTAATTAGGTTATTAGTGACAGTGAAACCCTAATGGCTGAACATATTTCATGTGACATAGTAAGAAACCCTAATGGCTGAACATATTTCATGTGACATAATAACTTATCGAAGCAACAGTGGATTAAATAAGGTACTATGTGGTCTTGATTGGGATATCGGTCTTCGAGCTAAATAATAACTCATTGAGCTACGACGGTAGGATTTGATTTAATTGTTTAGTACATAGTAATTCCTGACATGGATAGCTAGCACATTAGTGATATCCTGACAGTTTCTCCCAGAGCTTTCTCCTTTGAATTTCTCCCGACAGTTTTCATTTAGTTACTTTGTTCATTTAATTTTGCTTTTAAAATTAGTCTCATTAAACTATTTTCACTTATAGTTTGCAAATAAAATTGATAGAACTTAAGGTTGTAACAGTCCCTAGGAGACGATACCCGGACTTTCCAGTTTACTAAGAGATAGGAATTAGGCATATACTCTCTTGCCCTATCATATATTTGATTTCTAACCTTATTCTTGATATAAATCAAAGTTGAAAAGACTGTTTCAACATTTGTCGTGTAACCATATAATCAATTCAAATTAAGAGTAACCCATAATTAGTTTAATTGTTAGGTTTGAAAATAGCTGGGGATAAGGAATAGCGCTTTTACTATTATTTGTCGTGTTGCCCCATCCTATCTCAATTTCTTACAATATTTATTCATATTTCTTCAATTTTGACTTTTGTTCAACTAGTTAGACTTGGTCTTTCACTGCTTAGACTCAATTACTCGTTATATTTTCACTATTTTTTGTTGCCCCATCCTATCTCAATTTCTTACAATATTTTTTCATATTTTTTCAATTTTGACTTTTGTTCAACTAGCTAGACTTGGTCTTTCACTGGTTAGACTCAATTACTCGTTATATTTTCACTATTTTTTGTTGCCCCATCCTATCTCAATTTCTTACAATATTTATTCATATTTCTTCAATTTTGACTTTTGTTCAACTAGTTAGACTTGCTCTTTCACTGGTTAGACTCAATTACTTATTATATATTCACTATTTTTCTTTCATAAAGTATTTTCCGGTTGTTATATCATAGAAAGTAAACTTTTGCATGATTTTTTTTACAAATAACATATAAGAGTGGGTCGAACCACTTTTTAGAATTAGAATTATGCATGGCTTGACTAAAATAAACTAGATCATTGGTCAACCTGATGTCACGTTGATGTTCAAAGAACAAAAATAATATTTTCAACAAGAATCATACATCTTCTCATTTGTGGAGTGCATGAGCCAGGAGCTCTTCGGGATAGCAAACCGCGGTGGGTTGCAGGTTTCTACTCGAGTCTTGGCATTTGTATAGCAGCTATATATGGCCGAGTTGTGGGCTCTTTATCATGGGTTTAGATTGGCTGCATGATGCTACTAGTGGAATCAGATTCGAGATTGGCTGTTGAGCTAGTGAACATTTTTCGATTCTTATTTATTGAAAATTTTTGTGAGCTTTTCAACAATTCAACTAGAAGCCAATTGTTCACGTGTATATAAGTGGTGTGTTTCTTGTTTTTTAATACTTATAGATTGACAATATATATGAGTTTTCAGACTATTCAATATAGGTCTGTGGATCAAGCATATTTCAATCAAACATATTTCTGTGATACATATTTCATTTTTAAAAAATTTTATCGATTGACAATATATGTGAGTTTTCCAAATAATCACATATATTTTTTTTTGTATAGACTCCTATTTTCGAATGTAAGGCCTAATTGGTCATCGAATTCAATTTACTCTCTTAAACTCATGGCTTAAAAGCATAGTATTTTAATAGGAGTTTAACTCGGTTGCTTCAACATGGTCTTATACGTGGCTTAACACACTTTATTGAACCAATCTTAGATTGTAATGTTTTATTTACTGATTCACATAATTGAAAATTGTATTGTGTGAGCTTCTATTTTTTGTTTAACATATTACTTCACATTAAAAAATACAAATCTTTGTAAACTAAAAATTAAACATCCCGTACGGGAGGAATTTACTATGCTATATAGTATTAGTGTTAATGTTATAGGTTTTTGTCTTTATGGTACAACTTGAAGTTGTACCTTTAACATTATGTTACAACTTCAAATTGTACTTATACTCTTTTGTACAAATTCTTTTATGATACAACTTGAACTTGTACATTTATGTGATGGTACAACTTTAAATTGTAAAGTTGTATCATAATATAATGGTACAAATTCCTTTATGGTACAACCTAAACTTATACATTTAACGTTATGTTACAACTTCAAGTTCTACACTAAAGCACTAATATTTTATAACATAGTAGAAGTGCTCCCTTACGGAGCACAGACTTTCGACCTAGTAAAATGGCACTTTAAGTTTTCCATCATTTAGTTGGACAAATTATTGAGTACGGTTTCTTTTAACCTTTGAAAATGCCAAAAAATGTGGCGCTAAAAAATGTACAAGTTCAAGTTTTCCATCATTTAGATGGAAAGTATGAAAGCAATCGGTTCTCAATTTCTTGTGTCTTTGATTTTAGGGGTCGTTTGGATGGATCATTTTGATGAGTTAATTTGACACAATAGACTCAAAATGAGACAATTGGGTACAATTACCTCATTTGGCTGCCAAAAAGCAAAACGAACCAATTTGAACCGGAGAAATCACAATTGACCCATTGTGGATCAATTGAAAATACCTGGGGTAGGGGAGGTAATTACAATTGACCCGTTTCTTTGTACCATCTTTCCAATTATGGCCCTTTCTTTCCCCCTTTCTCTCTGCAGACACAACCTTCTCTTTCTTTTCTTTCTTTTCTCTTTCTCTGCGACGAACCCATCTTCCTCTCTTCTTCTATTTCCTTTTCTCTCTTGGCTTCTCTTCTTCTCTTTCTGTCCCTCTATGGCAGCCGACCTTCGATTGTTCGATCGACAACTCCGACCAGAACAGAAAACAGATCTGAACTGTCAAGAATCCGAGGTAGCCGCTGGCGACTGACTGGTCTTCTTGGGTCTTGCGACCAGAGAAAAGGGATTTGGGTACGTTCCTCTAAGCAAAGGTGACGAAGCTTCGCTTTCCAGCAATCCTCGTTCCTATAAGCAGCAGCGAGTCTGGATTCTTTCTATTTCAGAGAAATCTGATTGCTTGATTGGAAGAGTTCTTTGGATTGGTTTTTGGCGTTTGGTTCGTTGCATGTGGGGTTCTAAGAGGAGTAGGAGTTTGATTTTTTCCGCATAGATTTCCGTTTCGATTTTTTTCGTTGACTTCTGTCGCTATTTCGTTTATGGGTGTTATGAAACCCAGAAACAGAAAGAAAAACTTAGAGAAGACAAGGGTAAATTGGTATTTCCCCAAAAATGCCCCCATACATTTTTCCATATAAAAAACCGTTCCAAACGATACATTGTGAGCAAATTTTCCAATTGAATTGACTCATTTTCTAAAATGGATCTTTTGATCCAAATTGATTCACTTTGAGAATGATCAATCCAAACGACCCCTTAATAGTGGACTGGGCAGGCATGGTAGTTCGTTCATTCCCCAACGGATGGGACAAGGGTCGGCCGTAGAAGACGATATGCAAGTTAAATACTTGTATTATGTATCTGTTCATTCGGGGATTCTCCATAGATTAACGGCGAGCATTATAATTGAACGCTAACTCATTCATGATTAATAGGGAAATGGGTTCAAATCAAAAGATCTTGCAAGTCACGTTGATAGGAGACATTGATAATTCAGAATTGTCGATCACCCTTAAATTTTCACAATCTGAATGCAATCAGCTCACAATGTTGATTGATCCCCTCGCCTGGGTCGGCTGCTGTATATATAAAGGCAAAGCATGTCAACCAGGAGGAGTCACCAACCCTCTCTTCTATTTCATCATATATATCTCAATTGAAGCCCACAACAGCATTCCCCAAATGGCAGTCCCGAACAGCAAGTTGCTCTTAGTGGCTTCCATCTTCATTCTCGGCGCTTTGGCTTCTCAGGCCATGGCACGCTACACCTCAGACGAGTCTTCCATGCGCCTTAGGCACGAGCAGTGGATGGCTCGTTATGGACGAGTTTACGGGAGTTCCCGCGAGAAGGAGGTACGATACCAGATATTCAAAGACAATGCGGCTCTCGTCGATTCGTTCAATGCAGCCGGAGACAAGCCTTACAAGCTGGGTACCAACCAGTTTGCGGATTTGACGAACGAGGAGTTCAAAATGTGAGCGCGGTACCAACTACCATGGACTGGAGGAAGAAGGGAGCCGTCACTCCGATCAAAGACCAAGGCCAGTGCGGAAGTTGCTGGGCGTTTTCAGCTGTGGGCGCAATGGAAGGAATCACTCAGCTCAGTACCGGGAAATTGATATCCCTTTCGGAGCAAGAGCTGGTTGATTGCGATACCAAAGGAGACGACCAAGGTTGTGGTGGCGGGTTGATGGATGATGCTTTCAAGTTCATTATCCAGAACAAGGGTTTGACCACCGAGACCAATTACCCCTATACTGCTGCCGATGGATCATGCAGTGCTAGCAAAGAAGGAAATCCCGCTGCTACAATAAAAGGATATGAAGATGTGCCTGCCAACAACGAAGTCGCATTGATGAAGGCAGTGGCTAGCCAGCCGATTTCTGTGGCAATTGATGCCGGGGATTCCTCGATCCAGCTCTACGAGAGTGGGATATTTACAGGAGAATGTGGAACTGAATTGGACCATGGGGTGACTGCTGTTGGATATGGTGAGAGCGGTGGGATGAAGTACTGGCTGATCAAGAACTCTTGGGGTGCTCAATGGGGAGAAGAAGGATACATCCGAATGCCAAGAGATGTCTCTGCCAAGGAAGGCATTTGCGGTATTGCTATGCAAGCTTCTTACCCCACTGTCTAAAATCAAACCTTCTGCCATATGCATGTAGTCACTACTCAATACATATGTTCACGTTTGTAAGATACATTTGCGAACTACTTATGTAAGTATTGTATACTTCATAATGTTGTTGCTCATTGTTATATCTGAAAAACAAGAGGGCATAGCTCATGTGCCTATACCTTCTAGTTATCATGTAACTTTATGTCTAGTAAGTAAAATTTTCCTTTCTCTATATTTCTTTTAACATAAGGTTTTATTGCACCTTTGTTCCGATCTACAAAAATTTAATCATGTTCCGATCTTTTAGTACTATTTTCGATTCATTGCACAAAGAGCAATGTCTATAAGAAACTTGGACACGTCATTGCCGATTGATCAACGAAGGAATCCTGGTCTTTAGGATGTGGAGATCCTGTATGGATCGAAATTTGTTTGTTTGGAACAAGGGGAAGATCAAAGCTTTATGGATTGGATCACAGGTAGGGTTGGCAATCGATTGTCCCTGTTACCGGTGTGCGGCGGTAATCGATATACCGGTAACCGAGATGTGCTGGTATTCGGCAGGAATTTGAGGAAATTCGGTATACCGACCTCCATGCCGGTATATATCGACGGTTTCCCATTATTACCGATACCGGAAACCATGCAATGAACGAAGTGTTTTGAGGAGGAGGAGAGATAGAAACCCTAATCCCCCCCCTCCTAAACCTAATCGATCGTCGATCGATCCCCACTCCCACCCCTTTCCGCCATCGCTGAATGGCAATTCCCACTTCCCAATTCCCACCCTCGTCGACGCCGACGCCGCCTCCACCTCTCCAGTCTACGCGACATCGCCTTCCCTCTCCGACTCTGGCTCCCTCTCCACCGCTCTGCCTCCAATCGACCTAGTCCGCCGCCTCGCGACCTTGTTTCTGACCTTCCCCTGTCCGACACGGCGACGCTGCTCCGCCTCCGAGCTGTCCATTCCGTCGCCTTACATCTCCCTCTTCGACTCTGCCTCCCCCTCTCTGCCGCTCTGCTCTGCCCTTGTCCGACGCGTGGAGAAGCTTCATAAGGCCGGACGCCTTTTTCTTCCTCTTCACCAGTCGCCAGCGACGAAGCTTGCCTTCGTCTTCCCTAGTCGCCGTCGGAAACGTGTTTTAACCTCTCGTCGCGGTAAATCGGTAAAACCGTTTACAAACCGGTAACGGTATTCGATCTCTCCCACGGCGTGCTCGGCATACCGATTACCGGGTCGATCGGTAACCGGTTTACCAATTACCGACTAATTACCGACCGATTAACCGGTTTTCATTAGGAGATTTGGGAATGAACTGGCTCACACTATTGCTCATGCTTATGTTGGGTGGAACCTCATGCTTATTTTAGGTGGAATTAAACCATTTATTGGGTCTAAAGGCCCCCCATCCAACTGTTGGGCTTTTAGCCTCTAACGACTACTCCAACTTTGTGTCATCCGTCTCATTTTATTGAACGCTTATACATGATTTAAGAGAAATTTTACAATGCTATATAGTATTGGTGCTATAGGATTTTGCCTTTATGGTACAACTTAAAACTGTACATTTACGTTATGGTACAACTTCAGATTGTACCTATACTTTTTGTACAAATTCTTTTATGGTACAACTTGAACTTGTACTTTTATGTGATGGTACAACTTCAAGTTGTAAAGTTGTACCATAACATAATGGTACAAATTGCTTTATGGTACAACCTAAACTTATACATTTAATGTTATGGTACAACTTTAAGTTGTACATTAAAGCACCAATACTATATAGCATAGTAGAAGTGCTCCATGATTTAATAATAGTAATAATAAAAAACTTGGCGAGGAAAAAGGCGCAAAATACACATTTATGCTTAGCAAATGCACAAGAGTATATTCGTGGTAGAATTAACAAAATATGGACCATGTACACTTCTACCTATCTATATCTCTCTATGTATCTAATAGCTTCCAATGCCTCTAAAATACGGGATGGAAAGCCAACCATCTTGGCAAAGATTCAAAAAAATTCATTCTTCTGGTATAGTAGAATGTTCCTACTGAGGAATGATATTGAGCAGAGAAGCTCTCGATTTGATTAATCTCCTGAAAGTAGGGGTGGAAATTGGGTGGGTGCGGTTACCCGCCCCACATTTTGCGGGTACCCACATCGACAAAATTACTATTATGCTACCCAACCACTATCCATTGCGGGTTGGTGCGTGTTGGGTGTGGTTACCCGCAAAAATTCATCTTTGCAAGTATTGAGTTGAGGCAGCCACTATCGTATTTGTTGTTCGTAGGTAGATTATAGTGATATACATTTGTGTTGTTCGTGGAGATGCAATTTTGTATATTGATCTTACTCAACGTGAAGAGTTTTTCTTTTCGAGTTTGGTATTCAACTTTTGTGTCAGGGAGTTGTGATTTCATATTTCACCGACTAAGGGTGGAATCAAGTTTGGTATTTTCTTTCACACAAAAGCAAAAACAGATAGATAAAAGTTACTAAAGGTGTCCACTTTTAATGAATCAATTATTCTCCACTCTCGATTATAGTGTTTTATAAACTAAAGAATTGTCACATAATACTAATTATGTGCGTATTTGATTTTGGTGGCTACTTTAATTTTTAGCCTCCCACTTTTCTTATATTATCATATTATAAAATTAATTCAATAAATAAATATAATTAGTGTGGTTACTGTGAATTTTGTGGGTTAACCGCGATAGGTAATGGATAACCACTAACCAGAAAAAATATTATTTTAATACCCACACACAACCCACTACCCAGAACTTGTGGGTATGGTTACAGAACAATGGATACGGATTGGTGCGGTTTGCGAGTTATCCGCAACCCACAACCCAAACTTCCACCCCTATCTGAAAGCACCTTCCAGACCACCCTCTATCTCTTTGAAACAACTCTCCACTACTTCAAATTCCTTCTTACCAAATTCCTTCTTCTGAACATCCTCAATCAACAAAGTAACATCCACAGCTTGGATCTTGTTCACCTCGCACCCAACGGCTACTATACTACCTTACCTTTAATCATCAGAGGATGGTGGTTTGTGACTTTGTGTAGAGGACTAGAACAACCGCTGCTCTGGTGAAGAAGAGGACTACGAATGGTACATAATTGGAAATGGGGATTTGGTGGAATGAATGAGTGGTTTTGGATGTTTATGGTTTCACTTTTTTTTTCCCACTAACTTGATCAAATTGGAAAACCAGGATAAATCGGTTCAACCGCTAAAAACAAGCTTGCAAGATTTTTGCCTCCTTTGATCATACCGTTCCAGTATTGGTTTTAAGAAGTTGAACTGCTGACAATGGTACGACTTTTAATCTTAATATTATTATACCTTGAATTAATACAATAAATCTAACTAAACATGTATATGTTTTGTCATAAAATCAACTAGAGCTAATAAACCATAAAATCAACAAATATATAATCATTATTAATTTAAATCCAAAGCATTCAATTCTACAACATCTATTAGTTTACAAGACAATTACTATTTTTAACACATCCAATCATTAAATAAGATATATAGATATATTATTTGTGGGGCTAGTACGAGTATGAGTTTTCGCGGGGAGTTTAAAACCATACCCTTCCCATTCTCATTAATTATTTTGCAGGTTTTACTCTTACCTTGATCATACCCAATCAATACAAAGATTTTTTTGGTTGACTGTTTCCGGGAAGTCAGTTACCCACAATCCTATGTTTAATTGCTAACAAAGAGTAACCCAGAAAAAAATTATGTACCAACTTAGAATTAGGTAGACATAATTTTATGTAAAGAATTAATTATAAATTATCTGATCATCGATCAGTCCATTTCACGTGAAATTGATAGGGAGAAAAGAGATGTAAAAATACGTTTAGCAAATGCACGAGGAGCCCTTCTAGTGTGCTCTATAGCACCCATGCTATAAAAAACAAAAAAAAAAGGTGACCTGTTGAGGAGGTAACCCACTAAATGACTGGTCCCACATCATTAATGGCAATCTTGTAAATAATGAATCAATGTATACAAGTGTAGGTACAAATTAGAGTTGTACCATATAGTATAGGTACAAGTTTCAGCTGTACCATTGAAGAATTTGTTTCACAAAGTGTAGGTACAACTTAAAGTTGTACCATTAGTATAGGTACAATTTTTAGTTGTACCATAAAGGGATTTGTTAGAAAGTGTAGGTACAACTTAAAGTTGTACCATGGTATAGGTACAAGTTCGGGTTGTACCATAAAAGAATTTTGAAAAAGTGTAGGTACAACTTAAGGTTGTACCATTAGTATAGGTACAATTTTGAGTTGTACCATAAAGGGATTTGTTAGAAAGTGTAGGTACAACTTAAAGTTGTACCATGGTATAGGTACAAGTTTGGGTTGTACCATAGAAGGATTTTTAGGAAGTGTAGGTACAGCTTAAAGTTGTACCATAGTATAGGTACAAGTTTAGGTTGTACCATAGAAGGATTTTGAGAAAGTGTAGGTACAACTTAAGGTTGTACCATTAGTATAGGTACAAATTTGAGTTGTACCATAAAGAGATTTATTAGAAAGTGTAGGTACAATTTAAAGTTGTACCATTAGTATAGGTACAATTTTGAGTTGTACCATAAAGGGATTCGTTAGAAAGTGTAGGTACAACTTAAAGTTGTACCATGGTATAGGTACAAGTTTGGGTTGTACCATAAAAGAATTTTGAGAAAGTGTAGGTACAACTTAAGGTTGTACCATTAGTATAGGTACAATTTTTAGTTGTACCATAAAAGAATTTTGAGAAAGTGTAGGTACAACTTAAGGTTGTACCATTAGTATAGGTACAATTTTTAGTTGTACCATAAAGGGATTTGTTAGAAAGTGTAGGTACAACTTAAAGTTGTATCATGGTATAGGTACAAGTTTGGGTTGTACCATAGCTGGATTTGGAGAAAGTGTAGGTACAACTTAAGGTTGTACCATTAGTATAGGTACAATTTTGGGTTGTACCATAAAGGG